GGGTTTGAACCACCAGCCTTCTGGTTAGCAGTCAAATGCCTTAGGCACTACACCATCAGAGCTCCTTATTGTGATCTAGTAAGAGTTCAATAATAAGAGTGGACATTTTAGCAACATCAAACTTGATACCATAATAATAACTGATACAATTCCTGCCACTATCAGCACTTGGTACCTGACCTTGGACATTGCTAATCCAGGCATCCCTTGCAGCTACTGCTGGTTCAATAGCAGATCACTGTAAAGCAAGTCACACGAATTTTTGGGTTCCCAGTGAAGTTATGTTTACACGGTACTCTAGTCTATCAAGTGTGCAATGCAGCATGATGAAAAAGTTTGAGATATTGTGAGAATGACCAAAACGTGACACAGAGAAGTGACATGAACACATGCTGTTGGAAAAATGGCTCCAATAGCCTTGCTTGATGCAGGGTTGTCTCAAACCTTCAATTTGTGAAAGCACAACATCTGCAAAGTTCAATAAAACTAAGCATAATAAAATGAGGTCTGCCTGCACTTTTCACTTCCAGGTCACCAGCCCATGTGGTTATTTCTATGATGCGATCAGATGAATATGTTTTGAGCAGCCAATCCATTGAAAGGGAGTTTCCCTAGGGGTGTGGCCTGCTTCCAGTATATTTATGGACATGCTGGAAAAAGAGACACTCTTCTGTGGATCGGGATTCTGTTGTGCTGCCTACAACTGTCCGTGAGCGAACAATTCACCATTCGGCCTGGAGATCTTGGCTTCATCATTTGTTGGAGTCAACAGCCAGTATACTGCCTGCCAACCTTGAGCTCATCAGTGTGCCAGGGGACACTACCAGAGAGCCAGACCCATCACAAGGAATGTGTGTAGAGTGACAAGAACAAGACAAGTAGGACGGGATTTGACTAGATTTAGGAAAGCCAAGAACTACTACAACTATCAGAACTCGTAAGACTTCAATTAGACCCACCAGGTCAGCACCTGGATCGACAGCTTTCCTAGGTGTCAACGGTAGTCAGGAACGCAATTTCAAAAGATGCCACACGGAACACCAAGTAACTATAAACTCCCTAAGACTAACCTAAGTAGAGGAATCCTGGAGGCACAAAGGTTAGGGACATGGCTGCTAACTGAGCGGTCAGAGGTTCCAACTCAGGAGAGAAGACCTGGCCACCAGCCTGTGAAAAGATGACAGCCTTGGAGACCCTATGGGGCAGTTCCACTCCGTCTTCCAGGGGCTGTGAGTCAGAATTGACTCCATGGCAGTGGGTGTGGTTGGGGCTTTGCTTCCACAAAGACTTACAGCCTTGGAGACCCTGTGGGCAGTTCCACTCTGTCCTCTAGGGGCGCTGTGGGTCAGAATCCACTCCACAGCAGTGGGCGTGGTTTGGGCTTTGCCTCTGTGAAGACTTACAGCCTTGGAGACCCTGTGGGCAGTTCCACTCTGTCCTCTAGGGGCACTGTGAGGTGGAATGGATTCCATGGCAGTGGGTGTGGTTTGGGCTTTGCTTCTGTGAAGACTGACAGCCTTGGAGACCCTGTGGGCAGTTCCATTCTGTCCTCTAGGGGCGCTAGGAATTGGGATAAATTTAATGGCATGTAAAAGCAACAAACCTAACTAGAAACATGAAAGATCTGTGGCACAAACACAGAAAAACAGGCATCTCATCGCTGGGTGGAAGCTTCAAAGCTCTTAAGATATTCCAAAAAACAAAACAAAACAAAACAAAAACCTCACTGCCTTCGAGTCAGACCCGACTCATAGCGACCCCTCTTTGGTTTCCAAGGCAATATCACTATGGAAGTAGATTGCCCAACCTTCCTTCCGAGGAGTGGCTGGTGGGTTTGAACCGCCA